ACATTTATTACAATTACATTTAATGCCGTAAAATGTGTGCCAAAAAGTGTGCCACCTATTTTGGGACTTTCCTTTTGCTTATTTTGTGTTAGGTTTATATCAGATTATGGTTTCTTTCGCAGATTAACGCTTGACGGTGGCAAAAATTATTTAATAAAATGTTGAAGAAATTTAAAATTGTGCTAATGAAGTGACTTTGAGAGTTTGAAGTTCAGGCACGAAAACTTCTAATTAAGATTCTAATAATAGTGCTAAGAAAAGGGAATCAAATATTTGCTTAATTGAATAAAATTAGTGAGTTGAAGTGTTAGTTATTTATACAGAGAACAATTGTTGGTTCATATATAGAATATGTTATTAAAAAATCAATAAATCAAAAGTGATAGAAACGAACTATAAAATCAGTAGGGTTTCATCTAAGTTATTATTCGTAATTATTATTTATATAATTCTAGAAATATTACCGAAGATTGTAAAACAATTTCACACCCAAGTTAGGCCATAAAGTTATAATTAACAAGGAACAACTTTATTCAAGGTTTTTAATTTTAATGAGTAAACGGTTTAATGCCTCTCAAAAGCTCTGTCTACAAATTACAAATGCCCACAGAGGTCATGACCCACTCAATGGGTGTCACCTCCATGGTGTTTTTTTTTACGAGCCACGTGTTTCGGGTGGCAGGATACCTGGGGGCATGTTTTTTGATGGCATCCTTGCCTGCGTAATGCGCAATTAAATGGTGAGCCCGCTAACAAAAGGCAATCGGTGGTCAGTTATAATTTTGTTATTCATTTTAAAAAGATTTTTTGGGGACGGCTAATTCGGCTGGACAGACAAAAGGGCGTTCAAAATTGGCAGGATATGGCGCAAACAATGTCAAAGGAGCGGCGACCATAATGGCAGGCACTTAACATGGTCCTTTTGATGGACACTCCTGGGAAGGATGGCCGAAAGCGGAGCCCGTCAACTGAAAGGAGAGGCGGTTAAATGAGCTGTGCCAGAGTTCATGGGGGATGCCAGTGGCAAGGACTCAACTCGAACGGAATACTTAATGCGGGACAATCCTTTTTGGTCAGCGATTGTGGCGGGGCAAAACATTTTATCTTGCTCGACGCAAATTAGTAAGCTGACTAAAAACACTTACCTGTCCCCCGGGGCATTACATTTAATGAATTTTTAATTGATTCGCCTTTGAGTCCTGACGCCGGCGTCTAATTCCCAAGTGGCCATCAATTTGCAATCGAGTGAAAGGAGGGCAAATTTAATTTGAAAATGTCGTGCAATTGGAAAGTTGGCTTAAATAAGCAAAGTTCAAGTCTGGCCAGAAGATAAGTAGCAAAATAATTGTTTTAAGGGAGCGGGGTAAGTACAGTTTTTTTGGAACAGTTGTCAGGGGTTAAGTCTGCATTCTGTGACATTTAATTGAGCCTCTCTCAAATATATTTCACCATCTTTGACACACTTAACTGTAGCTGTAACAATCTTAATTACAATCCTCGCTCAGCCAAGTGATTATTTATTAAAATCAAGACTAGACACTGCCGAAAATATGTGTGTGTGTCCCAAAAGACCAATCAAACCAGAAGCTGTAAACACATGCTGTCTAAGTTCGGGCTTAAGACCAAAGTCCGATGGCATTGTAAACAAAGGACTCTTTACACACATGACCCCCGAAAATTACATGCTCAATTCTTAAGCTTTTTGCTGGTCCCTTTACCTAACCCATGTGTCCAAATAAAATAAAGCTAAGAACCAAAAAGACCGAAGTTTCGTATACCCTTTTGTGGCGAAGAATTTCAACATTAACTTAAGTCTGTAGTTTATTTTTTAATTAATAATAATGTAAATAAATAATGATAGTTTTCAAAGGAATTAAATTTATTAAAATAAATAAATTTATAGAAAATACCTCCTTTCCTTTATTTGCATAAGAAATATATATGTTTTTCTCAGAAAAATCCAACTTTAATTTTTTTTTTTCACAACAAAGTTGAAGGAAAATTGTTAATACCCTTAGAAAGGGCCACAAAATCAACAACAAAAAAAGTGCGGCCTACAGTTGCGCTTTTATTGGACATGTTGTCTTTTCATTTCGTTTTTTCATTATATCAGCGGTGCCTTTGGTGGGCGATGGTATAAGCCTTGCCATAATGTGGCTCTTGTTGCTGGGCTTATGTGTCGTATGCGTAACGCTGGATGTTCTCTTTTTTTTTGTATTGAACGGGCAGGGCCGTGGGAACAACAATTCCATATCACAATGTTGCCAACTGACTCTCGGCGCTGCGAATGCGATGATACACGTTGCTATCCAATATGAATTTTCACTTTGATGTCCTGCGCCCCACTGACGCTCTAATAGGATACACTTTTAATAATATTCGCTGCTTGAACAGCACATTCTTCATTCAAAAATTTGTTATTCAACTCTGTGAATTTTCAGGAAAATTCCCTCCACTCGCGCGCGCACACGTGTAGGCCTCCGTGCACTTGTTTGGGTGAAGTCAAATGTCTGTAAATTTCACAAATTAATGGTTAGGACCTGGGCGACATGAATCCCTGTTGCTTTGTTCTCAAGTGGGTTTCAAGTGTGTTTCATGGGAAATCTACAGCAGCACTTTTCACGCCGGCTGGAGTTTTTCCCCGCAAAAAATATACAGGCAGAGAAAAGCCTTATAAATACAGGATTACAATTTCAAAGGCGGTGGGAAAACATTTTAGAAAGAAAAGAAAAGAAAAGGATAAGCGGGGTTTTTGAAATGAATAAAAGAATGATTGATTTTGAAAGGAAGCCAATTGTTTGTGGTATAAGAATTATAATTATTTCTTTATTTAATACTTACATTTTAATAATAATAATAGAAGGCATATCCTGAGCCTCGTTTTTCCTCTCTGTGCTCTGCTTCAAAGGACCGGCCCAAACACATACCCCACATATACGCCAGCTTAATGACCCGAAAATCTTTTGGCTCTCAATTAGTTGACCATCAAATTTCAAGGACGACAAGGGAGGGGGACACGAAAATAAAGAGAGACTCTCCTTTTGACGTTAATTAGAAAATCTCGACGTCTCGCTTGGCCAGACTAATTGCACTCTCTGTAAGCATAAATGGATCCGACAGTTTTCCCGATTTTTCCCCAGAGACTTGCCATTGAAAAATTGTATACGATTTTTCAAAACAGCTTTAAGCGAATTTTTGCATGGCACCCACACAAAAACCACTTTCTCGCTTGGCCTTGACAGCGTTGAACTCCTAGAGCCTGATGGAGCGCCAACTAAATGAGTGAGCTGCGGTGGCGGTGGCAACACACAGACATTGTACAAGCCTTTCAATGGAAATTTTCAGCAATAAAAAACCCCCGGCTAGTTTTCACTCGGAAAATCGTATTAGGGACCTAAGCTGGCGCATTATCTGCAGCTTCATGGGTCTAATTTTAGGCTTTTAGGGTTCGCAGTTGAAGAGGCTTAGAGAGCAAGGCTAATTTAAAGAAAAAGGCCACTCTGAATTGGTATTTCCATCGAATGCCGCCCATAATACCTGTGAAAATATGCGTGCACATATGCTGGGCGTAACAAAAGCCACTTTACGAGGGGAAAAAGGACCTGGTCTGGGCAAGGAACTTTAATAGTTTCGTTCAGAAAAATTGTTTGGGAAAATAAACTAAAGACATAAAGTGCCTGTGGTAAATTGCTAAACGGTACACGTTATGGCAACTTTGGACGGTGAAATATTAAACTTTACTTTTGCATATTTTTCATGGTTAAAAGTTATAATTTAATATATTCAAGAATGCTTTTGATATTTTCCTTAAAATGTTTAGGAACCATAAAATATAAATATTATTTGTGTAAGTTTCTAGGAGGAAAAGTTAAAGATTGTTAAGGAACTTTGTTTACATACTGAAAAATTAAATTTGGGAAAATGTAATATACATTTTAAACCCAATAAAAACATTTTCTACTTATAGTGTTTTAGTAAAAGGTAAATAGTATTGATTAAACATAATCTATAAAAGTAAACTCTGTCTGAAGTTTTATTATAAAAACCAACTTAAACATCCATCAATAACCAAATCGTTTGGCAATTAAATAAACATTAAGTTGCCCAATAAATTAACAAGTCGACAGTGTTTACACTATGGAATAGAAATTAACAAGTCGCCGCAATGTTAACAATCCGATAAATGGCCAATTAACCCAACTAAGAGACTTGTTTCCAGTGTTCAGAGTTTATTTTAAAAGGAGTCACCCTCATGTTTAAAATGCCAACATGCGTTGGCGTCACTTTCCAAAGAAAACAGGAAAATATTATTTTCGGGAAACTGTTTTCATTACAAGAAATAGAACTAGAAACATTATTCGGTGGCCATTGCCCAGGGTCAGTAAACTGGAAGAGCAGCAACTTGGTGCTGCAGTTTCAATTATACAAAACAAACGTTCCATATGCGAAAGCCGACAGGTGATTCCACCTGATCCATTTTTCATGTCCACCCACTGAAAACTGTAAGTTTCCTTGTTGGGAGATTGCTTGTTTGGCTTCTGAAACTTGTTTTCTTGTTAGCTCTCGTTTCATTTGTTTTACGAGTTTTCTGCATATTTGATTTACTTCAACCACTGAAAATCTGGCAGCTGACTTTTCATCAATTTTCCTGTAAAACAAGAGGATTTAGAAAATACTACGTGTGATAGAAGTTAGGTTTGTGCAAAAACAAGGTTTTTTAATAATATTTTTGTTAGATATTTCCAATATAAAATTATGTTTGCATACGAAATTTGTTTTTCTAAGAGAATTAGCCTGTGAAAACAGACAGGTGCACTTGCTTAGTTTCCTTTTGCATACATTAAATCAAAAATCAAATCAAAGAGGTCTATAAGTTACCAAATCCTCGCATAAATTAAAAAGAATGTATATAAAATTTATCCCAGATTTAAAATTTTAAGCTCAGTGTTTTCCCACAACTTGAAATGAATGTGTGGCATTTATCTTTCTCTCGTTTTTAGATTGCAATGAAGCGAAAATGCCCCTGAAGATGCATTGCAGCTCGTAAATAAAACCAAAGGTCGAACCAAAATACAAGATCTAGCAACGGAGAAGTTACTCCTTTTGGGAATATCATCATTCTCATTAGGAAACCAAACCAAAGGAAACCAAAAACAAAACAAAAACTTAGTGCCATGGCCACGAACCTAATCGAGGAGGAATCGCGCGTCGACTTTTTACCCGGAGCCGAGGAGGAAGCGGAATTCGGTAAGCACTGCTTTAATCCCTTTCAGCCTCTGGGGACACGTCTTATAGTCGACTGGATTAATACGACTTGACGTATCATCAATCAAAACATTGACAAGTTTGTTTTCGTTTTGACAGTTAGCCGTTAGTTCTTTTGATCCTGCATCATTCATGAGCTCCTTGTGGAGTAGATAAAAGAGCATCGCCTGGTCACTAAAATCGAATGAATTTGGGATGAGAGCAACCAGTGACCCATGGAACTACTGGGGGAAATGCTAATGAGAACGCACTGCCTCTGGCTGGTCTATCAATATTTCATCTAAAACTTGGATGTATAAACTTCTGGCTGCCATTATAAATCCAATTCAATTTCCTTGACGTTTAGCACTCAACGGGAATGCCACTGACACTGACTGACAACTGACACCTGAATTAATCTGCCACTGTCAGGTTAGCGACAATTCTGAAAATTCAACACTGAAACTAATTGTACCTTAAATGCAGGGATTTTATTTTATTAGAATTTATTTGTTTAACATTTTTTTCACGTAATTTTCTATTTAATTTAATTTTTTTTGCAGAGCGCTTGTATGCAGCCCCCGCTGAGATTGTGGCCCTGCTGTCCATCTTTTATGGTGGCATCAGCATTGTGGCTGTCATCGGCAACACGCTGGTCATCTGGGTGGTGGCCACCACCAGACAGATGCGCACGGTGACCAATATGTATATAGCCAATTTGGCCTTTGCCGACGTCATCATTGGCCTGTTCTGCATACCATTTCAGGTGAGTGGTGCTCATGATGCTTAATGGAATTAATGAAGAAGAACCTTGGTCAACAAGCAATAGGAAAAATTGCATCTTTATATATTTATAAGAATTAATTTAAAGTATATTTCTCAACATTAACATTTTTTCGCCTACTGTAAGTAAGCTTCTTTATCTTCGCCTTTAAATAACTAAATTAAACATTTAGCATAAGCCTTGCTGAGTATCTTAATGGATATCGATTGCTGCTTTAAATAAATTTTAACTGAGAACCTTTACTATATAAACTCAATTTCCAATCATATAAAGGAATCTTAGTATTTGTAAACTAGTGTCATTAGGTTTTTATTCATAACATTGCGCATACGCACTGTGGACCAGCTAAATTGATTTCGATTTAAATGATTTTCAAACGCGGCACTGTTGACACTTTGTATGCATAAATCACACAAGCCGCATCGACATTAGCATTAGTTTTCACTTATTTTCGCCATAACATGGATAGATAGATAGTCGCTTTATGGACAGCAACACGGGGCAGGGCGCAGACACATCAATTTCGGTATAATCCAGCATCAATTTAATTTCCGGACGGTGGAGAAGCGCCATGTTTGGAATTAGAAAATTGGCACAGCCTCCTCATCCGCCCTTTTTTTTGGGTGTTGGCAATGGAATATTAGCTACTTGAAATTTTAATGCGATTGTCGGTTTATGTGTTAATGGGATTAGTATTCCATATAAGCCAGCGAAAATAAAGTGCTAAAAGCCAACTGAACAATTTTCTCGCCCAATCTATAACGTGCTTACCTCTCCTTTTCTGGCGGCAGCAATTGAAATCTCATTAAATTTGTATGTGATACTGGGAAATTATATTTGAATAGACAATAGCCATTGGCATTTATTGCTTTTCTAGTGTTATTGCAGGGAAAATGAGAATGAAAGTAAAGGTAAACGTACAAAATGCAAAACAAATGTAAAATTTGAAAATTAATATTATTTTTGTCTGCTTTTGCTTACCTTTTCCTAAGGAATTGTGTACTTTTAATTAAAGTTATAATAAAGTTATAAAGGTGAAACTTGAAGTTTTTAAATTGTGAAAATTGTGGGGAGTTAACAAAAAAAGGTTCTAATAATAAAAAGAACACTTATCTCTTAGGTAATTCTCTTTAAATAATTAGCAGGCTTGTTTATTTCAAGCGCTTTAATCACTTTGAACTTTGAACTTGACCCTCAGTCTGCTTGCCAAACTTCATTTGCCGCACTTAATTTATATTAATTCCGCAATCAAACAGAACTTTGGCTCTGTCACAGCCATCATGGAAGTGTCATCAATAAGCTGGCGAGAAAATTGCAATTTGCGGTGTCCCTTGAGAAGGGGAAAGCGCGTGCCTCAAATATCCGCAGCAACCGCACACACGTACGCATCCACACGCCTCCACAATATTATATACACACTCCAAATACATATACACTTACTGGGAAAATCACAACCCAGCAACTGAGCGGAGATTTCAACAATTTATTTGACCAAGAATTGTTGGGACAGGGCCAAAAGGGGGGACAGCCCCGAAACAGCAGCAGATTCCTGTTGTTTGCGGTCCAGTGTCCATTAATGATGTTTGGCCATGTGACTTGAATGGGTCTACATTTGGGGCTTGATTTAATCATCGCACATCGCACCGACACGGGCACAAGGGGCCCTTTCTCCTTTATAGTTTACACTGAGGGATAAAAGTAAATTTAATATGTTAAATATGGTATAGAGAAAAAGGAGTCTAAGTATTTGATTTTCTTAAAAGATGCTTTGAAAAAATGTTTATTTTTTGTAAGGGAATTTTACAGGATTATAATAAGATCCTTTAATTAGTTCGTATAAAGTATTGGCTATTTTTCGGAGGCTAGTGAAAAAAGTAACTGTTGTTAAAGGACTTTTGTGATCTTAATAACATAAATGGTTTTTAAATATTTGATTTTACAATGATAAAGTCAGAAATGTGTAAAGGTTAAGCTGCGGTATACGCAGAAACCTAACTAATAACTTAAAGAATACAGTTACTATTATATGATGAACTTATCAACCTATAACTTACATATCTCATTTCCCTTTACAGTTCCAGGCTGCCCTGCTGCAGAGTTGGAATCTGCCTTGGTTCATGTGCAGCTTCTGTCCCTTTGTCCAGGCCCTCAGCGTCAATGTCTCGGTGTTCACGTTGACCGCCATTGCCATTGATCGGCATCGGGCCATCATTAATCCACTTAGGTAAGTTCTGAAAGGGAACCTGTAACCGGGAATCATTAAAAATCTGCTTACACATGCAGGGCACGTCCTACAAAGTTCATATCGAAGTTCATAATTGGCGGAATCTGGCTGCTGGCCCTGCTCTTCGCCGTGCCCTTTGCCATAGCCTTTCGGGTGGAGGAATTGACCGAGAGGTTCCGCGGTAAGTCTATCCGATTTGCATAGATTAAATGGCCGATGGATTTCAGCTTTTCGCTTTTCGCATTTCACATTACGCAGAGAACAATGAGACCTTCAATATGACGCGACCGTTCTGCATGAACAAGAACCTATCGGATGATCAACTGCAAACGTTCCGATACACGCTGGTCTTTGTGCAGTATCTGGTTCCCTTCTGTGTCATCAGCTTTGTCTACATCCAGATGGCGGTGCGCCTGTGGGGCACCCGGGCTCCGGGCAATGCCCAGGATTCACGGGACATAACGCTGCTGAAAAACAAGAAGAAGGTGAGTTGGGGGAATGGGATTGGGATACCAGTCTGACAACCGTTTAATTTCCTCTTTTGCCCCGCTCTGCAGGTCATAAAAATGCTGATTATCGTGGTCATTATCTTTGGCCTGTGCTGGCTGCCGCTGCAGCTCTATAATATTCTGTATGTGACGATTCCGGAAATCAACGACTACCATTTCATCAGCATCGTCTGGTTCTGCTGCGACTGGCTGGCCATGAGCAATAGCTGCTACAATCCCTTTATTTATGGCATCTACAACGTAAGTGGACCTGAATGGTGATGATGATGATGATTGTCCCGATTTGTTGTTTGCCGAGTGTCGGATTTGCATTTGGCCCCGTCTGGGCTTTTGATTGGTGTCCTCTGTTTCAAAGTTACAAGAGTCCACAGGGACTCGTTTAGGGGAGACGCCACTAAAAGGCTGCAGCACGACGAGTCCATAAAAAGGAAACTAAATTTAGCCAGGGAATAATGGCAATTGATGAGGGACAGAACCCAGCGACTAAGGCCGTTTTCTGTTAGTTTTTGGGGCGTGTAAATGTTGCCATTTGTGGACTTGGGGGACTTGGCAGGCAAATTTATTGGCATACGGTTGAAATACTTTAAAAAGGCAATGTGTTTTCCATCATAAGAGAAGGATAATGTTGATTTATTTATTATATTCTAATATATTTTGATAAATTATTATCCTTTCTTAAAAATAGAAGTGCCTGAAGCCATAATTTCTTAATAATTCAGCCAGTCAACCTTGAAATATTTGAACTTTCATTTATAATGATTTACTTTATTATCCTAAAAATAAACACATTTACTTCCTCATCGTTTTCCTCGCTCCATCAAATCAAATTTGAATGAAAAGGAAACTTTGCTTTGATAGAAAGGCTAATAGAGGCGCTCACAATCTCAAAAAGGCAGTCGAGCAGGGAAAATTCATTTCACTTAATTTCATTGCTTCGACTTCTTCAAATCGATTTCTCTGTTGATTTTTTCCCAATTTTGCTTTTCACTGATTTATTAGCATCCGCGGCTCTGTTCTTTCTTTTTATCCAAAAATAAATTCCAGCTTACTTGGCATCAAATTTACAATACAAATTTTCCAAACACCGAAAATAGCTGACAGACGAAAAAAAATACTTTGTCAAAGTTAATTAAAGGAGCGCTTCACTGTAGCCAATAAGCAAACACACCTACTGTCTGAGCCACAGGAATTGGGAGCCCGCAAAATGGAGCGAAATCCCACAAAAATCTTCGGCATGGCAAAGTGGCAAACCGAGAAAAGCGAGAAAAAACCCCTCGGCTGTTTGCTTTGACACTTAAATTGTCTGTAAAAGATAGATTGAGAGCGGCGAGATCTGCGAATGCTCGTAAACTTTTCCCTTTGGCCGTGATGTGCGTGAAAACTTTTGTCAACAAATATTCTATTTTACTGTCGGCAAAGACAAATGGCATTTGTCAGTGGAGGTGGTGCAAATCCTCCTAGCTCTTGTTCATTAGCCTAAGAGGGATGTCTTAGCCCCAGGCAGTGGGTTTGGCTCTTTCTTTTCCCATGAAATTTTTCCAAAGACTTTTCTTTTAATTAGCCCTAAAACTAAGGACTAAAAGTTTGATTTTGTTGAGAAAGGCAGAGGAAATTTCGAAAATAAAGGTTTAAATGTAAATATAAAAATAAATAAATATTTATAAAATTTTTAAAGAATATATTAATATATGTTATGGTAGTTAATAGATTTTTAAGTACTTCGGAATCCTCATATTTTATAGAAATAATGGTATTCAAAACAGGTGATTGTGCATTGAAAATCTGTACCTAAAATGCCAAGAACTATTTTTACGAGTCGTCCCTCCTGGTCTCCAGTTTCTCCCAGTATATCTTAGAATACTTTCCAAATATTTACACCTCTATCTAATTCTCCTGTTTTCTCTCTGTGTATTTGTAGGAAAAGTTTAAGAGGGAATTCAATAAACGCTTCGCTGCCTGTTTTTGCAAGTTTCAAACGAGCCTGGATGCCCACGAAAGGACCTTCTCGATGCACACACGTGCCAGCTCGATAAGGTCGACATATGCCAACTCTTCCATGCGAATTCGTAGTAATCTCTTTGGAGCAGCCCGCGGTGGTGGTCTCAACGGCAGCAGCGGCGGTGGCAAGACGGGTTTGCATTTGCCACGGGTACATGGAAGCACTGGTAGTGGCGGAACTTACAACGGCGGTCAGAACAACAATGGCCATGGGCTTCATCATCACCATCATCACCAGAGTGTGGTTACCTTTGCCGCTCCCGGCTCCTGTGTGGCTGTTGGTGGCGTTGGCCACACAGGCGTTTCGATGCCGCCCTGGCGTCGCAACAATTTCAAGCCCCTGCACCCCAATGTCATCGAGTGCGAAGACGATATGGCACTCATGGAGCTGCCATCGACAACGCCGCCCAGCGAGGAGATGGCCAGCACCACGGGAGTACAGCTGGCCCTGCTCAGCAGGGAGAACTCCAGCTGTATTTGCGAGCAGGAGTTTGGCAGCCAAACGGAGTGCGACGGCACCTGTATACTCAGCGAGGTGTCGCGTGTCCACCTGCCGGGATCGCAGGCCAAGGACAGGGAGCGGGAGGTGGTGGGCAAGTCCCTGTGGCAACCGCTCTAAGTTAATTTCCAGTAATTTAAGTTCTAGCCGTGTTCCACGGACACATTCCCGTTCGTTAATACGTAAGCCACTCGACAACCATTAGGTGTGTTTCTCCCCGAAGAAAACTCTGTGGAAATATTGATTTTTTTTTGTAAGGACATCAATGTATTTGTGGATTACGGCCACTTAAGCCATTTTCCACAGAAATATTTGGACCATTTCATATATGAATTCCCCTAAATTCCCTTAAATGCGAATGTGCCTCTGGAACCTGGCTATTAGCTCTGTGATTTCGTCTTAATGAAATGTGATTACAAATCCCCTGCAGAACGGTTTGTATTGATTGAGTGTGAATGCTGGTCGTGAGCCATGTACAGTATTATAATTAATTGTAACATCGAAGTGCGTTCCTTAAAGCACAATACGTAAATGTTTATTAAAACAAAACCCACACAACTTTGTCCACCATTTTGTTTGAACTCCATTAAAGTTCTTTCGAAGCCAAAATTCACCAAATCAAATAAAAAGCAAACAAAAAACTTAAAAAGCACCTGCAATCAATTAAGTAGCATTAAGCTAAATTATTTAAATAGTTGTATTAAAAAAATCCGATTATGTATTAAACACACAATCACATCCTAAAGTATGTATGGAAATGAAATGTACAATATTTGTCATGAAAAAAAAAAAAGAAAAAAACAGAAAGGCTAATTAATGTAATTATTATTGTATTAAATTACCAAAACGAATAAACATTTCGAGTCATTAAGCAAACCAACGTGCATGAGTGTATTTCTCTACTTTTAATTACAATTCAGCGCAATAATTATTGTTTATGCGTCAGCCATAAATTGTAAAAAAATTCAAATGGCTACCCACTTCCGCTTCGTGTTGTGGGATTTAAATTAAAGCGGAAGCTTTTTATTTAATACTAGCTCGGATTCCATTTTAAAGAAACTTTCCCATAAATCTGAGAATAAGTAGTTTGACTTGAAGAAAACTGAGAAAACCCTATTTTACTTGGAAAGATTTTCATTTAAGCGGGGACTCGAACCGGAAACGGGCCATTGAAAGCCCAAGATGGTCGAAAAGCTTTCAAGTTGCTTGCGGATTAAGCAAAGACATCGAAAAGCTTTAACCCTTAGAAGGTGTCGGTTGGTAAGGGAATTTTGAAGGGGTTTGAAAAATATCTTTTACTTTTAAAACAAGCTTTAAGACATTTTAAACTGACTTTGGGGAAGAAAGGTGAAAGCTTAAGTCACAGATACAAGATTTTTACCATTAGGTTATTGTTTGTGTTTGATTATAAACAATTAAAAGTATCCTAGGTTGTACAGGGTTATTTTTAAAGCTCATTTTTTAATTTAACAGATTTTAGAAATCAAGAAACAGGCAAGAATAATACTAATATGTAAGTTTATAAAGATTTGTTCATTACCTTAAAAAAGTTTGTCAAAATCTATTGTTTATTCAAGTTTGTACGTTTAAAATTTAAAACACGTTCCTTATTGAATTTGATGCTTTTTTTGGATTAGTTATGATATAAACTATATTTTTATAACAGGTTTTATAAAGTTTTATATTGTTCTCTAATTTATAAGTTAATTATAAGATGTTAAGTAAAAGCAAAGTATATTACATCCACTACACAAATTCGTATAAATACTTCTTAGATTTTTCGTAATTTTTTCTCTCTCCATTTTTCACATTTTAAATATACTTTAATCATTTAAGTTTAAATTCTTAAATTGTTGTAACCATAATCATCCCTCTAATGATTTGCCCATCCGCCTTTTCCCTAATTCCCATGCAAACACAGCCAGACTGTGTGTGCGGACACTGACAATTGCCAGGGAATATATGACGGCTGCAACAACAGCCACAACTATGTCACGCAATGAGGTATGCTGCCATATGTGTTTGAATACAGAGAAAGAAAAGTTTTTGGTTAAGAAATTAGTTTAAATTATAAATATCCTTCCAGATACACTAGCACTCGGGGACAATGGCATTACTTGGCATTAACCTTTTGAAAAGGAGTAAATTTTAGAATGTACAAAAGTAAAACAATCTTCCCAAACAAATTTGATTTCTTTGGTAATAATATATTAAGTTTGTATTAAAAATATATATTTTATTTTAAATAATTAAATTATCCTAAATTTTTACCTCTGTATATCTGTGTCTGCAGTGCACTTGCGCCTCATTTTTCGCTTGCAATCAAACAACATATGCCGTGCACTCTCACACGCGATGGACAAGGACCAACTGTGACGGGGACAGGACAGAAAGACACACGCACACACACACACACAGGACACACACGCACACCCAATACACCCGACACGAACCCAGACCCAGTTAGAAGGACACATGGTCACATGGCAGCCGCATTGGCTGTTGATAATTGAATAATTAACATTGTTTAAAATGGCTCAACGAGCGGCGGGGGGAAGGAGAGCTAAAGAGTGGCGTCCAGTGGCGGAAAAGGACACCAGACATCCGGCGGCCAGGTCATCAGGTCAAATGCAACCACAATGTCAGCCAGAGCCCGCAGCACACATTTAAAACAAAGTACAGAATAAAGTCCGGCCCCTGCACTTATTATATAGTACACACACAACTGGATATAGGTAATATAGTACATATAATTGGGTTAGAAAGGCCGTTGTACGGGTGTATATTTCATATTTATATAATTGACATGCGGTGGGAAAATCTTTTCGATACATGTCTGTCGTTTATTGATTAAAGTCCCAGTTTTTAACCGCATTGAAATTGAAAACTTGTCAATGTGCTTTTTACCCTTGAAGTGAACAGTTCGATATTCGGATAAGAAAAAAACATGAATGAAGCAAGAAGTTCCAAGAAAAGTGAGTAGGTTTAGGTTAATTTTATTAAATTTTGGATAAAAATAAGGTACATTTTGTATATAGCAAAGGTATCAAGTGATCTTCTATTTTCCATTAGTAATTTCATTAAAATAAGTTTGCATTTTTGTAATTAAATTGAAGAAAATAATATAGTTTTAGAAAGTATCGAAACTTTAACCTTTAACTATGAACTTTATTATAATAAACAAGTAAAAGTCTTTAACAGATATTTTTTATATATTTGAAATTAGTAGTCTTATTTTTGTTGTGTAATTTTTTAGATTTTTTTAACTTGAGGCATTATTTTATGAAGGTATTTCTCTTTTTTCGCTATAACAACTTTAAGCCAGACTGTCGATTCATATTCTACAAAGAATAATTGTTATTCATAATTATAATTGTATATTTATTAGTTTTTGAAGGTTTAATACTATAAAAAATAATAAGAAATATTTTCAATAATATATTAAAATTTCTTATATAACTTAATACCCTGAAATTATAGCCGCTCGCAAAGCCTTCTCATCCACCAGCTCCTCGCGTCGCAGTAGCCATGAAAGTGGCACTGGTCACGAAATGGCGCCAGGGGAGGAGGAGTCGGAGGAGGAGCAACTCTTCCAGGAGGCGGCCTCAAGCACGAGAACAAACAGTGTCGATGCGAGTGGAAGTGGCAGTGGAAGTGGAAATGTGACTGTGACTGGGAGTGGCAGCATCCCGGGCAGTGTCAGTGCCATGCCGGTTACGGATTTCTATAGGGATGCCACCGTACTCATTACGGGCGGCACGGGTTTCGTGGGCAAAGTGTTAACAGAGAAATTGCTACGCTCGTTTGGATTGCGTAAAATCTACATGCTGATACGCAGCAAGGACAGCCTGAGCATACAGGAACGCTTGCAGGGCTTTTTCAATGAATCGGTAAGTGTCAACCCAGGAGGGGAGCCTGTCAATTCCCGCCCTCCTGCATTACCACACACTCTCCGCCTGGCAAGGACAATGTGGGATAAAAGCCCCGTCTTTAAACACCATATCCCTCCTCCTCCATCCAACAGATATTCAATAGACTGCGCGAGGAGTCACCGCAATTGTTGGAGAAGGTGCATCCGATACGCGCTGATTACAGTGCCATCGACCTGGACATTGATTCCGCCGACCGAGCAATGCTCTCGTCTGAGGTCCAGGTGAGTAAGTTCCTGCCCGTGTACTTCACTACCGATCCTCCCTGCTCCTGCTCGCCCCATGCTCCACCTTTCTGCAGGCAATTCAATCAATGGACTTTTTGTGCGAGAAACTTTTCATGGGCTTTTGTTGTGTTTGCCTATCTGGATGGTTCCCCCGATTCCTGTCTGTCCGTATCTATTTACACTTGAAGAAAAATATATTTATTACTAGTGGGAAAATATAAAGAATTTTTCAAAGGGAAAATCAATGAATATATTTTAAAAGAATGTATATAGTTTATTATTTAATAAACTTTTACTCTATGATTTTTATGAGATGAGACATGGTGTTTTGTATATAAATATTCTGTTTGGTTATATTCAAATTTTTTCCAAGTGCATCTCCAGTTATCTCTGCCTCCCCCTCGGCCTCTCTGGTTTGTGCATTACGTATACGTAAAACGTTGCATGCCAAAGGCAGGCGCAATGTTTACGACAACACCAGCCAGGCAGTCAGTTTATTTCTTTCGCTTCTCGCTCTTTTTTCTGTTATTTTTTTTGTTTCATTTTTGTTTTGCTGATCACAAGAGGCCCTGCGATATATGCATTCTACTTTTCAACAAAAATTGAAAACCCGCCGCCACGTAAAACTGTGAAAATGTGTAGAGCATCCTGCTCCTGTTGCTGTTGCAGTGGCCGTGCTGCAACTGCTGCTGCTCCTTCTGCTGTTGGTTATAAAACACAATATATAAATAAATGAAAATTCCTGTGCATGCTTCAAGTGCTCGGCATGCGCGAGCCATTGTCCTGCCAACCGGGCGCATCCTCATTCCCACTCATTTCACTCCCACTTCCGTTGCCAACGCCAGCCTCATCCGCATCCGCATCCGTTTGGTTCTATTTTTATTTTTTCTTTCAGTTTTCCGTGCTGTTTGCGAAAACATTTTGCATACAAGTCACTCGGCGGGCCTGGTGGGTCTGCTTAGAGTCCGCTTGCACTGTTTTAAGCTGAAATTGCTTTGTTGTCGATGTTCAATGCACGCGTCGCACTGCAGGATTCCTGTACCAGCTCCAGCTCCAACTCCAGCTACCGTTCCTGTCCGATTTTCTGTCCCAGTTCCATCTGCGCTGAGGCTTCTCCTTCTTTTTTCCGCATTTTGTGTGCTGACTTTGAGGTTATCATAGAACACAGACCAAACATTCAGCGCCAGATCGCTGATGTACCTGGTGGCAGTGATGGGAAAGGGACAGGTTTGCTTAAGTTTGGTAAAGTAGAGCCAGACTTTATATTTTTTAAAATTTTATATTGCAAAGAATTATATAAAATCAAAGGTTTTAAAGATATTTTAAGAGAATTTCATTAGGATTAGCTTGAAATTTGGGTAGTATTTTAATAGGTTAAAGGTTAAAAAGTTAAAAGTTTATAAAAATGTGTCCCTATCCATCACTATCTCTTCCTGTTTTGTATGCACATCTCTTGTGCATTTTGCATGAGCTCTGCCCTGCTGCGCCGCTGAGTTCCTCTCCTTTTTCTTCTTTCCATTTTTAATATGCATTACAATTCGTGGGTCTGGTTTATCTGCTCCGCCTGTAGATTGTCTTCAATGTTGTGGCTTCGGTGAAATTCAATGAGAAACTGAGCGACGCCATTGACATTAATGTACTCGGCACGAAGAAGATACTCGACTTGGCCATGGAAATGAAGCACTTAAAGGTGAGTTTTAAATAACAAAATAATGTTAATTGTT